ATAAAAAGTCTCGTTCATCATCACGTACGATTTTGCTTAAAACTTTGACTGATTCTCAGAATTCATTAGGTTTTTTAAAAGAAGTAAGTTAAAAGTTTTATGATTTTAATTGAGATATATTTTATTGTCATGTTTTTTTTAAGTTTAAAGCGCAATTAAAGGATAGTGAACTTAAAATATATGGAATTACTCAAGACACAACTACCAATAAATATATTATGGTGTTTGATAAGCTTAATTTGAAAGGAATGTATGGAATTGGCATTTGTGAATATTGTAAACAAGGTTATTCTTCTCCTGCCTGGTGTCAGACTTGTGATACTAAGAGAATAACTCAAGGATGGACAAGTGGAAATAAGAATATTGATGATTGCATTAAAGTATTTCAACTTCAGATTACGAAATATGAAGATGTAATTGAATGGATCCCTTTTGATCGATTAAGTAACGTACAAAAAATTGGTAATGGGGCTTTTAGTGAAGTGTTTTCTGCGATATGGTTAGATGGTAAAAGAATCATTTCGGGCAAACCTGGGTCTGGGAAGTTTATACGTGAACGTACGGTATCTTGCATAGTTGCACTCAAGACATTGCCTGGTTCTAGCTCTCATAAAAGTTTTTTAATTGAAGTATGAATTATTTAATGATATAAATTAAATTTGCATAACAAGTTTTATTCACATATGATTTTTTCTATCTATTTAATAAGTTTGATAATTACATGCAATTAAGAATATTGGGAAATAAACTTGAAGTATATGGATTAACACACGACCCAATTAATAATGTATATTTAATGGTATTTCAATATGCAAATAGAGGATGTCTTCGTGATTACTTGAAATCAAGTTTTAAGGAACTTGATTGGAAAAATAAATTAGCACAACTTTGTGACTTATCAAGAGATTTAGCCCGAGTTCATAAGAAAGAATATGTTCATCGAGACCTTCATAGTGGCAATATATTGAATAATCAATATATTCGTGGAGATCTAAAATCTTATATTGCAGGTTTAGGACTTTCTAGAAAGAAGGATGATTCAGATTTGGGAAATGAATGTTATGGAGTATTACCTTATATTGCTCCGGAAGTGTTGGATAAAAATCGTAGAGAAAAAAGTAAGGAACCTTACACAATGGCAGCAGACGTTTATAGTTTTGGTATAATTATGACTGAAATGTCTATAGGAACACCACCTTATTATAATATTGATTATAATTTAGAATTGGAATACAAAATATTAGATGGTTTGCGTCCAGAATTTGGCAAGAGTACTCCTGAATGCTATAAACAATTAGCAAACCAATGTATGGATAATGACCCTAATAAAAGACCAACCGCATCTAAAGTTAAGAATAAATTAAAAGAGTGGTACGATATATTAAATAATGATAAGATGGCAGATACAGAAAAATTAGCAATCAAAGAAGAATTCCGAAAGGCGGATGCAATCATTCCAATATTATCAACAATATCATATGATTGCTCTTCAGTAAAATATTCAAGCCAACCACTTAGTTTTGATGAATCCTATGAAAAATATATGGCCATCGAATTTTCTTAAATATGATACTTGCCATACTGTATTTATTAACTTCTAGAATTGACATGTTCTTTCATTTTTGTTTATGTATTATATATATTTTATTTTTGAGAATTTTTGTTTGGTTGGAAAGATCCGAGTAGCTGTGCAATATTATTTCGCAGAACCAGGAGGTGGATTTGCAAAATTTTTGTAACAGGGAACCTAAATTTTGACAATATATATAGATAATTGTTTTTGGCTGCTCAATTAAATTTTACTATATTATCTTTCAAATAAATACCTATTTTCGCGTAATAGCCCCATGTGCGTTATTCGAAAATTTAAAATCAAGAAATTACATGCATAGCTTCGAAAAGTTGCCCATACGAGTTCAGAAATAACAATGCATATTTGGATCAATATAAATTACATAAATGTGACCGGGGTAAAATCGCCACCAGTGTTATAAATTCAAAAAATTTTTATTGGCGCAAACGCAAAAAAAATGTGCACAAAAAAGAAATTTATACGCGCTTTATATATACGGAGAACGTTGATATATGCGCAAATTTAAATCTATGTACGCTGCGCCTACTGTGCGAATCCAATTTTACATCACTGATCGCCACCCAAAAAAGTTTCGAACATCACGTGACAAATATATCGAGCATCAAAAATTCATGTAGCTTGAACAAATAATACAAACAAAATTCATAGACTAACAAAATAATATCAATAAGCAATAAATTAATTTTATTTATTAAACGTAATCTTTATTACAGCCAGAAAGCATTATGATTACGATTTGTCTAAGTATTTGGAATATTCCATTGCCTTTTAAAATGATTTTAATCCTCCTTCAATTTATGCAATGGCTCAAAGTTTTTATTAATACTATCGAGCCATTAGTTACCATTTGATTCACTATGTTTTCTTTAATAATTTTTTTTGTTGCGTCCTGGATTCAGAATTATAAAAACTTTTTGTCCAAATAAATAATCAGAGTTATAGTCTTCCGGAAGAGCATTAAAAATAAATCTACAAGGTATTCTGGTGCAATTGTATTTTTTGATTAGTTTTTATAAATTTATTTCGATTTTCATTCTTTTTTCGTTTATTATTAGTGGGAATTTGGTTACGTCGATGGATGTATATTTTTAGAATATTGTGTTTATTGGATTTTGAGCTTTTAAAAAAATCACTTGTTTGTCGAGATTGCAACGATCACTTTCATTTTGAAGAATTGAAAAAAAAATCACTTACTAAATCAATTAATATCTACTAAATATTATCATGATCCTAATCATGATAAATTGACAATATTACATAATTTTCGAAAGGGTTCTTCTAGGCATCTCTAGCTAGAGATGCCTAACGATAATATTTCGGGCTTAATAGCCAATTAAAATGCAA